AAATTATTGAATATTTTTTCAAATATCAAAATATTTAAAACATTGCCTTCATATCCATCAGCACCGGGTCTTCCGGGTCTACCTCTGGTTCCCTCAGCGGGGTCTCCGCGCTCTCCCTTATCTCCTGTCGCGCCATCCATTCCCGTATATCCGGGCGAACCTTTGACTCCGGGAAGGCCTGAATAGCCCTGAGGTCCCGGTAATCCATGCAGACCTTGTGGCCCGAAATCCCCGATTAAACCTTTAGGACCCGGAATACCTGGAATACCGGGAGGACCACTGTATCCATCATAACCCGGATCACCAAGTTCGCCCTTCGTTTATATTTTATAATATAATAAACGCTCATTTGTTTAAAGTTTAGATACAATACCTTTGGTCCGGGAAATCCGGGCAAACCGTCATCACCTCTACGCCCCGTTAGACCACTCGATCCTCTATTTCCCGAATCTCCAGGACTTCCCGGATGTCCTTTAAGTCCAATTTCTCCGCGANAAGTTTAGATTCAATACCTTTGGTCCGGGAAATCCGGGCAAACCGTCATCACCTCTACGCCCCGTTAGACCACTCGATCCTCTATTTCCCGAATCTCCAGGACTTCCCGGATGTCCTTTAAGTCCAATTTCTCCGCGATCTGAATAGCCATCTCTTCCGTGTTCTCCTTTTTGTCCGGGAAATCCGGGCAAACCGTCTTTACCCGGCAATCCTGGCGGTGCTGTTTATGACAACAAACAATAAACGTTAAAATTAAACATGCTTTCATATTATAATTATAATTAATACCTGCGAGCCCTTCATCTCCGCGTTGACCTCTAATTCCGGGAAAACCTTTTGATCCGCGATATATGTTAATCAACAAATCCATAGCAATCGGATCTCCCATTTGACCTATATCATTTATTTATTAATTATACAATAAATAAGCATGCTTCAATTATTGAAGTTCAATATGTCAACCTGGTGCTCCATCAAAACCAGGGTCTCCGGGGTAGCCTCTAATACCAGGCGGTCCCGGGAGTCCCGGCAATGCGTTGATTGCTTCACCCAATTCTCCCTTAAATCCCGGCACTCCCGGCAAACCTGTATAATAAATCAGTTGTAATAAGTTATGCAATCAATAATACTTCAAACTTATTGGTCTAATGCTAACCTTGTAATCCCGGTAACCCCGCCGGCCCTATATCTCCATAGTCTCCCTTTGTTTTATAAAATTATAATATCAAATGAATAAAATCGTACATGTTAATGTACAACAAATACCTGTTCGCCTTTAAGACCAGGGATTCCATGTATTCCCGGAAACCCTGAACGCCCTGTATTTCATTGAATTCAATAAATATAGAAATAAGTGAACATTTTTACTAATTTATTATCAATACCTTTGGTCCGGGAAATCCGGGCAAACCGTCATCACCTCTACGCCCCGTTAGACCACTCGATCCTCTATTTCCCGAATCTCCAGGACTTCCCGGATGTCCTTTAAGTCCAATTTCTCCGCGACTCGAATAGCCATCTCTTCCGTGTTCTCCTTTTTGTCCGGGAAATCCGGGCAAACCGTCTTTACCCGGCAATCCTGGGGGTGCTGTTTATGACAACAAACAATAAAAATTGAACATGTTTGTTCGTATTATAATCATAATTCTGATGAATACCTGCGAGTCCTTCATCTCCGCGTTGACCTCTAATTCCGGGAAAACCTTTGGATCCGCGATATATGTTAATCAACAAATCCATAGCAATCGGATCTCCCATTTGACCTATATCATTTATTTATTAATTATACAATAAATAAACATGCTTCAATATGTCAACCTGGTGCTCCATCAAAACCAGGGTCTCCGGGGTGGCCTCTAATACCAGGCGGTCCCGGGAGTCCCGGCAATGCGTTGATTGCTTCACCCAATTCTCCCTTAAATCCCGGCACTCCCGGCAAACCTGTATATTAAATCAGTTGTAATAAGTTATGCAATCAATAATACTTCAAATTTATTGGTCTAATACTAACCTTGTAATCCCGGTAACCCCGCCGGCCCTATATCTCCATAGTCTCCCTTTGTTTTACAAAATTATAAATATCAAATGAATGAAATCATATAACATGTACAACAAATACCTGTTCGCCTTTAAGACCAGGGATTCCATGTATTCCCGGAAACCCTGAACGCCCTGTATTTCATTGAATTCAATAAATATAGAAATAAGTGAACATTTTTACTAATTTATTAATTGATTTATAAGTTAGAAAACCTTGAAGACCGGGCTGACCCGGTTGTCCGGGATATCCGCGGTTTCCTTCTTCGCCTTTAGTTATGTCTAAATATAGAAATAAGTGAACATTTTTACTAATTTATTAATTGATTTATAAGTTAGAAAACCTTGAAGACCGGGCTGACCCGGTTGTCCGGGATATCCGCGGTTTCCTTCTTCGCCTTTAGTTATGTCAAAATAAGGAATTATGAGTTCCCCTGACTCTCCCTTTCTTCCCGAACGGCCTAAACAATAGACATCGGGTTTTAATAAATAATTTGATTAAAAATGTGTAGCAAACCAAACCTTGTTCGCCATCCACTCCGGGTAATCCCTATTAGAGTTAACACATTAATTGAGTGCATAATCCAATGTAATTGTAAACAAATGATGATTACGTTAAACCCTTTAAGGCCGTGCAGTCCCGGCAATCCTCGGTCTCCCTTTCGACCCGGATTTCCGACTTCTCCCACAAAACCATTTCTTCCGATTAAACCTTATATTTATATTAATTTTAATAAAATTGTGATTAAAATCCATTGAAATCCAATACCAGGTCTGCCGTCATCTCCTTTATCGCCGACTCCACCGGGAAATCCTGGGAAACAATGCGGACAGTCTTCACCTCTCGGTCCCGGTATCCCAGGTATACCATTGGGTCCATCACTTCCGGGAATTCCTGCAGCACTTTGTTAATTAAGTACCGCAACAAAGAGAATATTATTTACAAACCAGGATCTCCAGGATAGCCAGGTAATCCAATCTCTCCCGGTCTTCCTTGTCGTCGAATAGACAAGTGTCCGGGATATCCCTTTTCGCCTATAATTTACAACAATAAGTAATTCAATATATTATTTAACATTTATATCAAATGATGATTTAAAGACGAATACCTTGATAACCGACATCTCCCCGAAGGCCGGGTAAACCTGGAATGCCATCGAATCCGGGTCTGCCTGGCATTCCAGGCGATCCGACCACATCATTGCCTACTTCTCCCTGTTCTCCGATCGGACCACTGAGTCCGGACTGACCCGGTCTACCCCTATATCCAGGTATTCCAGGAAAACCTTTACAAAGAAAATATATTTTTAATATAAAAATAATAGTAACATTTTGTTGAAAACATTAGTGAAACACAAACCGTCGTCTCCTGGATCTCCTTTAATGGAAAACCCCTGTGGCCCGGGTTGGCCCGCATAACCCGGTGGTCCCGGTTCTCCCACAAGTCCCTGATAACCGGTTGGCCCGAGAAGACCAGGTTTGCCTGAAAGACCTGGATGTCCAACATCACCAGGGTGCCCCTGTGTTCCTGGAGGACCAATTATTGTCTTTCCCGACGGTATGAGTTCACCCTTAGCCCCCTGTCCACCCTGAGGACCCGGTCGACCGGGCAGTCCATAATCGCCATGAATTCCCTAACAATTGAGATATTCAATGATTAATATTACCGTTAATTAATGAATAATAGATTGGCATACCTTAGCGCCAGGTCTTCCATACTCTCCATCATATCCGGGCTCACCTTTGTATCCCTTATCACCTGAAGCCCCGCTAACACCAGGTTTGCCTCTTTTACCCTATGTATACATTTGTAATGAAATTTGATAAATATTAACAAAATTATATATAAATCAACGATAGATTGTATATATGTATTGACTGACTCGCGGTCCTTCGTCGCCGATATCTCCTTTAAGGCCTGGTGGGCCCGAAAATCCTTTCATTCCCTTAAGAATCACAAAAATTAAGAATAAAATTAATAATATAATCGATATAATGACCATAACTTACATCAAACCCATTGTCTCCAATGATACCCCGGTGTCCTTTTTCTCCCTTTTCGCCCTGAATTTTAATTTTAAAATATTAACAAATATATAACCAAATTTTAAAATGTCATACTTTTTCTCCAAACTCTCCTTCATAACCAGGCATGATAACAAGGTCTGTTTCAATTGCAACTAAAAATTCATTCAAATAATTAATTAAACATTGTATTTATGGCCACATATTAAAAGATGCTAAAACATGGATTTGTTTTAAGGATTGGGTTTTACATATTTTACACTTAAAATTATTTATAAATTCTGTAAATTATACATTATTTTTATATTTAAAAATATAATATATTTTTATCACATAATCTTTTAACTTGTTATGTAAATAAAATAACTAATCTATAACTTGTATAAACCTTTTATAATTACAACAATTAATAAAACTATGCTAGATATTTTGCTAAAGAAATTCTTTAATATCTATTGTGTGAATTGATTTAATTAAATAAAATATACATATTTTACCTAGTTCATTTCCACCCTGTTCACTGAGTCCAACATCACCGGGCGGTCCGCCTTCACCTTTAACCCCCTTTGGGCCGATTGTAGCCTCTCCTAAAATTTTATAAAGTTATACATGTTGTATGTATTGACGCAAGTATTTATTTTTAAATTTAGTTATTTATAAAGCTTATATTTTTGGTTTATAAAGACAGACACAATGACATAAATATTATTTAAATCACATGAAAATTATTAATGTATACCTTGTGGTCCTCGGGGGCCCTCAGATCCTATACCTCCTTTCGGGCCCTTTATATGAATAGTGGCATAAATTGAGTTTTTATAAAATGCTAAAATGACATTGTTAATAAAATGAGTACCGGTGCGCCTAAGAATCCTGTGTCACCCTTATCTCCCGGATAGCCCGGAGAACCCGGCAGTCCTCGTGCGCCTGGAATTCCATCTAAACCGGGCTCTCCTTTAATGCCCACAGAATTGATTCCTCCCATTCCTGGTGTGAATAATAGTTATAGAACTGCACACAAAAGTAACCAAAAAGTACTGCAAACCCGGTTCTCCCTATGAATGTAAATAACACAACCGTTACAATACTTTTATTCATACAATTTTACATACTTTTGGTCCTTCATTTCCTGGAAAGCCTGGTTGGCCCGCCTGTCCCTGATAGCCCGGTGGACCGGGAAAGCCAGGTCTACCATCAGTCCCTTTAATATTGATGAATTGACACTTTTTAGCAATAGTTAATAAAATATGAACAAAATACCATTGCATCCGTCAAATCCATGTTCTCCTAACTCTCCTTCGAGTCCCGGCAAACCCTTATTCATATTCAAAATAACATCAATATATGAACACAAATATTACTGGCAATAATGGTACCGGTATTCCTGGCGGACCATTGAATCCAGGTGCTCCAATATCACCTCTAATCCCTATAATTATTTAAACTAAAATATATGTGATTACAAACAAATGAATTTATAACCTTTTGGTCCAATTTGTCCGATGTCTCCAAAATCACCTTTTAGTCCAAAAGGACCATGCACACCTTCTGGTCCTATATCTCCCGGCAATCCTTGAGATCCTTGTAAACCAGGTATTCCTGGATAACCCTATAAATGTAAATATAATTATAATTATTAAGATTTTGCATAAATTAAGTTTTCTTTTGTAATTTCCTACTTAAACATCAATTCATATAACATTTTTTAATATTGAGGTTTGAGATGTAGTCCTAAAATTTTAAATTTTCATAATAATAGCAAAATGATCGAAATCGTGAATCGGCAGAGAAGATAGAAAATTGATTTTAATTAAAAGTGGCTATTGAATCACCAAGGTGTATTGTTACCTATTTTTACAACAAACGTCTGCCCTATGATTAATGCCTCATTAAATTCCAATTTGCAATACTTTTAAACTTATAATTCATTTAAATTACTCATCTAAATTATCGATATTTAATTTATATACTACACTATGAATTTATTAAACTAAACTCGCTATTATTATTAATATCTACTTAATTAACTTTATTACGAGTAAATATAAAGTGAATTACGAGTGAATATATCTTTATATAGATAATATTCTTTAATTATAGACAGATATGGTAGGAATTAAAATTATGATATTATTAGAATAAAAATTAAAATGTGATTCATCAAGTTGCAATGTCTATTCGCATAATTATAATAATCGGTTATATGAAAGAACCCACAAATT